TTTTAAATTTCTGTTTTTTTATTTTTTTGCACCCCACACACCCACCCCACCCCACTGCCCCTACCACCCCGCACATTATTTTTTTCCTTTTGTTTTTGTATCCGTTGGAACAACTCGTTAGCTTCGATCAGGGGAGGAGCAAGTATATCGTATATGAATTCGGCCAATTCTAGTAGCTTTTGTCTAAACTTTATACTATTTATTTTAAAAATTTATTAAATATATATATAATAAATTATTAATTTAAAACCAACAATAATTTAAAATACTTCAAATCATGATTTTCACCCACCAATAGTTTCATTTTTATTACATGCATTCATTATTTATTTGTTTTCTTTTACTATTATCTTCGTCAACTTCACCCTTCCTAGTGTCAGACAGACACTCCATCACACTACGCTGCCTTCTTTAATATATTTTCAGATCAATCCATCAAAACCCTCTCACCCACACACACAGAGAGTTCTGCAGCCATTCTTCAATGGCGAATTCTCAGAGAAGGCCGGCGGCCGTATTGGATCCCGTCTACTATCCAGTAGTCGCATTGGTGTTAGTCCTCGTTGCGTGCGTCGACCTGTGCGATGCCATCACAGTCGTCGACGTTTACCGNTTTATATATATATATATATATATATATATATATATATATTTCGAATATAGCTTATATACTATATACTTAGTATATCTATAATACTATACAACTATATATACAATCTTATATATATATATATATATTATACTCTATCTATATCTATAATATACATATATTATAAATTGCTTATATATATATATATATATATAAGCTATATAATTTACAAGAAATTACCTTAGATTAATTTTTTTTTTAAAAATAGTCAAAGCCCACTTAGGCCCGGGCCCGACTCACATAGCCCGGGACCATTAGTTCGTGGTCCCGGTCTGGTTACACCCAAAAGCCCACGAAGTCCGGGACCGTTTAAGTCCGGCCCACAAAGCCCGGGCCCACTTAGAACCGGACCATCTAGGCCCGCCCCGCTTGCCACCCTTATAATCTCACCAGTTCCCCATCCTCACCAACCCACCCCACATCCCAACCCTCTCTCTAAAAAGGTTTTTTTTTCTTTCAAATTTCAGTTTCTTTCCTTCACCACCAACCCTAAAAAAAAAAAATTAATTTTTACTCTTTTTTTTGTAATTTTAAATTTCTGTTTTTTTTTTCTGCACCACTCAACCCGCCAAACCCCAGCCCCACCCCCTCGCACAAAAAAAGGTTTTTTTTACCTTTTTTTTTGTAATTTTTAAATTTCTGTTTTTTTATTTTTTTGCACCCCACACACCCACCCCACCCCACTGCCCCTACCACCCCGCACATTATTTTTTTCCTTTTGTTTTTGTATCCGTTGGAACAACTCGTTAGCTTCGATCAGGGGAGGAGCAAGTATATCGTATATGAATTCGGCCAATTCTAGTAGCTTTTGTCTAAACTTTATACTATTTATTTTAAAAATTTATTAAATATATATATAATAAATTATTAATTTAAAACCAACAATAATTTAAAATACTTCAAATCATGATTTTCACCCACCAATAGTTTCATTTTTATTACATGCATTCATTATTTATTTGTTTTCTTTTACTATTATCTTCGTCAACTTCACCCTTCCTAGTGTCAGACAGACACTCCATCACACTACGCTGCCTTCTTTAATATATTTTCAGATCAATCCATCAAAACCCTCTCACCCACACACACAGAGAGTTCTGCAGCCATTCTTCAATGGCGAATTCTCAGAGAAGGCCGGCGGCCGTATTGGATCCCGTCTACTATCCAGTAGTCGCATTGGTGTTAGTCCTCGTTGCGTGCGTCGACCTGTGCGATGCCATCACAGTCGTCGACGTTTACCGGCTCGTTCAGTACGATCTATCTGGCGTCCCGTTCGGATCTCGCCTCGCTACTCTCAATCACCACGCCGGTTCTTCGCTCTTCGCTTCTGTCGATCTCTCTCGCACTGTACTCATGCTTCCCGTTCGTGAGTTGAACCTCGATCTCATTAAAGGTTCGCGCTTTTATATACTGCTTGAAATCTGCATTTTCAGTACAAGGAACTTTGATGATGAATTTAGTGTTTTGAAATTGACTTTACTTACCTTAGTTCAGCTAAGAAGCTCGCTTATTATTGTCATGACTTTTTTTTATAGCAATTGATGCATCTATTTGATGAAGTAATAAGTTGAAGATGAATTTAGTGTTCGGAAGTTGCATTTACTAGCCATAGTTCAGCCAAGAAGCTCGTTAGTTATTGTTATGATTTTTTTAATAGCAATTGATGCATTTATTTGATGAAGTAATAAGTTTCATTAAATGGTATTAAGAAGGTGGAAAAGGTAGAAAAGAGAATTTGTGTTAGCTCCAATTCATCAAAAGAAACTATGCTAAGATTAGTCCGGAAAATGATCAGTGCTATTTACAGGGTTAGGGTGCTCTAGCAAATAGATCACATCTAGATTTTGGGGAGTGGTTTGGAGTTGAGATTCTGTCAGAACTGCTGTGGTTCCTTTCGTCCAAACAAGCCAAAAAATACTGCAGGGATCATAAATCATATCTTCCTGATGGCTTTATCACCTCCGAAATTGAACGACCTTGCTCTCCGTTAAACTTTAGTTGGATAGCGGATAGCCCTCTATGAAGCCTCGCTAACTCAAGACAATCTTAGCAGAAGAAGCATCCCCACAATCAACACATGCTACATGTGTCAGCATGCCTTAGAGACTGATGGACATCTTTTTTTACATTGTACAGCAGTTGCATATGTATGGAACATGTTCATCTCAGCTTTTGGTCTTAACTGGGTTATGCCTGAGAGTGTTAAAGATGCCCTGGTTAGTTGGAGTTCATGTAGGGTTGGGAAATCAATCAGGACAGTTTGGAGGATGATTCCTGGTTGTATTTCCTAGTGTGTCTGGACAGAACGAAACACTAGATGCTTTGAAGGCATTACTACTCCAAACTACATTCTTAAGGCTAGATGTTTAAGAAGTCCTTGTAGTTGGAGTAATCTGTCCCCTGAAGATTTTTTGGACTTTGTAGCTCCTTAACTTTAGACTAGACCTTTTGTAATAGAGCTAACATTGTCTTTTTTCTATGCTTTTGCTCTATAAATTCTGAATTTTGCATCTTCTTGATCCCTTCTATGAAATCCATTAACTTACCAAAAAAAAAAAGGGTATGAATGGACCAATAGTATAGCGGAGGGCAAAACTGAGCATATTCGAATAGTATAAGGGCAAATTTGGATCTTTTCCCTTAACAAATAAAGAAAAAACAAGGCAAAAGCTAGATACATTGACTATTTTGAGGAATGTGTTTAGTTCATTTTATACAACTATTTGCTTGTAGACACTTAAACAGAGAAGGTTTTATTTTAAGGAATGACAGTGAAAATTATCAGTAGGTTGACAATGCAGAAAAAATATATCGTTCGAAGAAAGGACAAACTGATTTGGGACTGCTACAGTGATTTATTTACGGGCAGGAACATTCTAAGATTCTGGTTTATTCTCAAAAGCTGAATTGCATGGTAAACAAGCATTTTCAGTAGTGGGGCCCTCCTTTCACTGTTTGGGACATTGACTTCTAGTGTCATAAAACATGAATGCTTGACTTTTGCTAATGTAAATTGATTGTCTTCGATTGCACTTTGAGATTTTCTTTCTTTTCTCTGTCTCGGCGTTTGTTTTTAAAGTGATAAGTCTGCTAAAATACTTTTGGTATATACATTTTTCAACTGCTTGATTGTTGTTGACTTGATCTGATAGTAATTGTTTTGTTTGTTGGGTTGCCAACTCTGCTAAAGGGCATATTAAATTTTGACAGTTGCAGAAAGAAAAATTAATCCAAAAATTCAATTTAAAAATTCATTGTACAACATAATTGATACATTCTAGTTCACTCACTTGTCTATTGGGCTTGCTCTTCCTGTTTTCCATTTTATTGCAGGATATATTGGACAAGGGAAGCTTTTAGGGGGCTTACTGCTTTTACTGCCTCCTAAATTTAGTCTAGAAAAAGTAGACGCTGCAGCTGGCGATGATGGTGATTTTGACCTTCTGAGGAATAAAGTGTCTGAGCTGGAGCGGTTGCTTATACATGCTAACATCCCTGTGAGGCAAACACATCCTTGATAATCTTTTTTCTTTGTGCTCTAATTCTTGCTCCTGGTTAAGTGTTCAGTGACTTAAATGCATGAGATTTATAATGCACCTTCATCACGTTCCTAGAGCTGTCTTTGGCCTTTGTCTAGGCGCCTGTTTGGTTTGGTTTGGTTTACTCTGCTTACTGATTTAATCAGTCTTTAAATTAAAAATAATTTTAATCAGTCTTTAATCATGCTAACATCCCTGTGAGGCAAACACATCCTTGATTATCTTTTTTCTTTCTGCTCTAATTTTTGCTCCTGGTTCCTTGATTATATTTTTTCTTTGTGCAGCGTCTCCTTTTTCTGGACTAACTGATTTAATCAGTCTTTATATAATTTTTTTTTTCATTAGCGTTTTTTTTTCTTTGGGTGAAATCAATTTTTTTTGTTACCATTGTATTAAATTAAGAACACCACACTTCAAGAAATAACTCTAAAGTCCATTCCAAACAACGTGAGATAATTAGATGGAGCTATATGCCTACATAAACCTTAAGATGCATTAAAATTTGACGAAATGTTACGGGGCGTAACAGTTGAATTGCGATGGAGGTAGTTTAATACATGTGACCTGTGTCTCCATTTATATGTGATTTTATATAATTAAATTCACTGCATTTTGTTGTAAGTTCTCCCCCAAACATTGGACAATGTTTTTGTTCTGGATAGTATTTTTATTGTACATCTTCTCTAGATTTCTCGTTTGGATAGCACTTGTGGTTTAGTTGCATCTTCTTCATGTTGAAAAAATTCAACATTTGTTATTGCATATGACATAAATGTGGTGATTGTTTAACTATATGAAATTTTCTTCCAGTACCCTGTATATTTTGCTTTTGAGGATGATAATATCAATGCTGTACTAGCTGAAGTCAAGAGAAATGATGCTAGTGGTCAACCTGCAACTGCTACTACAGGCGGGTAAGTTTATGTCTCACTATTATTTTTGAGATAGAAGTTGCCTCTTTCGCCTGACAACAAGTTACTAAAACATGACAATATTGGACTGATGTCCTAAAGATTTGTAGTCTGAATAATATTTACTATTGTTAGTATGCTTGTAAAATTTCTTAACTATCTGCAGTCGCCATCATAAAATTAAATGCTTCTGCTCATCTTTATTCTTCAGCTAATTCAACATATTTTATTGCTGCCAAAATAAGATTTTATTTGAGCTGAAAAGTTTGATTACTATCTCTATGCCTTTATTGTATACGTGCTTGTCCACCAAAAGATAGAAAAAGAAGAAAATAAAAGAAAGAATATAACCACATCAGAATGTTGAACAACTAGTTGATCGTGCACAGATATTTATTTAGTTTCGTTTGATTTATATTATTTGTAAATGAAATTGAATGAATATCTGATATTTGACATTGTTTCTGTCATTGTCAAATTGGTTTCATTTCCTCGTGTCAATGATTCGGCTGATCACATGTCTACAGATACAAGCTTGTTGTTGCTGCCTCAGATCCTAAGAGAATTGCATCTCCCACCATTGCAAATATTCAGGTTCTAGTTCACCTTCTTGTTCTAAATTGGATAAATTTGACTTACTATGAATGTTCAAGTTGATGTTTTTTCTATTGACATTAACCTTTCTTATTGCCCTAAAAATTGACATTATTGATGGCTAAAATTTATCGCCCCTTTTTGCTATCAATTGTGGTCACTTTCTCTTATATGTTTAGGAACTACTGCTTTGCTTTAACGTTATTAGCTATTGTTTTACACCGGATAGGAGGTGGTTGAGGAGGGATTTTTTTTCCAGAGGGGTTGCAGGTAGCAAATTTTAATTCATAGCCCCTGGTTCGCTTGACCTTGGGGATATTGTTAGTGATGACATACTCACTATCACTGGCTTATCACTCCAGAAGAAGAGAAGAAATGAGCTATGCCTTAATTATAACAATTCTGATCTGGGTGAACGTTCTATCTATTATCTCTTGCTCTCCAAGAACTATGGAAACAATTTGTGATGGCATACTTGCTATATCGGGCTCATTGCTCCAGAAAGGAAGTATGAAGCTATTCCTCAATAATGGGCTTTTGATCCTTACTGGATGTCCTACCTGCTATATGTTGCTACCCAAGCACTATGAATACACATTTTGAAGTCCAAATTATGCCTGTAGTAACTACACTGTATATGGGTACTAATATATAAACATGGTTCATGTTGATGTCAACTTAGGCAAGAAGGTGGACATGTTCTGCTTGTTTCATTTTGTCATGTGGAGAAGATGTTGTTCTTTCTATGGTTGCTAAAGCTAACCGCATTAGTAGTTGGAAATGTTTGTGGTTCTTCATTTTGCATGCCGAAGTTGCTATAAATATTGTAACCCTGTGTAGTCGGTAGGTATAAATATTATCATTAAATTGTTCTTTTTTATTATTTGATTGAAAAATCATTTGAAATACCCCATGAATTCATTTTCTTGTTGTGGTTAGCCAAAATTTGTTTTATAGTAATTTTTTAATGTTTTTCCTAGTTACCATAGATATTTTCTTGAATTATAGGAGAGTTGCTCAAATAAGCTACTATAACAATCTAAAATATGCACTGGTTAATAAGTTAGGTTAATCAATAAAGTTAATTTGATAACTGGTATTTGTATGTTAAGATGTTTATTATTATTTATTATTTATGGGTGAATTCAGGGATGGTTACCTGGACTGAAACTTGACGGGGACTCGAGCCAACTCCCTACTATTGCCATAGTTGCTTCATACGACACCTTTGGGGCTGCACCGGTAAACAATAACTTTCGTTAACTTGTGAACTGCCAGTATACACTATGACATTTATCACTTATTCTATGTTAAAATCTACAGGCATTGTCAGTTGGAAGTGATAGCAATGGAAGTGGTGTCGTGGCTCTTCTTGAGATAGCTAGGCTGTTCTCGGTTCTGTATTCAAATCCTAAAACAAGAGGTAGATATAATTTACTTTTCGGATTGACATCTGGTGGGCCTTATAACTACAACGGAACTCAGAAGGTGCACTACTCTTTCCCAAACATTTTCTATGCATAAGTTGCAGTTATCTTGCTCTGTCTTTCCAATCTGTAGTTTTCTTTCTTCAGTGGCTTCGAAGTTTTGACCAACGTCTACGTGAGAGTATAGACTATGCCATTTGCTTGAATAGTCTTGGGTCCTTGGGCAATGAGTTACATCTTCATGTTTCAAAACCTCCCGAAAACGCGTACATTCAACAAATATTTCAGGTATTGAATGATCTATCAACTGAAAGAGCCTTGGAGCATTTCAATTTTTTGTTACTTCTACCGCAATCCTTTCTAATCTAAAAATCTGTATTTGTAGGGTTTCTCTAGTGTAGCAGAAGAATCGGGGCTTCAAGTTGGTCTTAAGCACAAGAAAATAAACATCTCCAGTCCTCGAGTAAGCACACATCTTTCTTTTGTGTTGGTCAGGCCTGTTCTATGATGTCATCTATATGCAGACCCTTAGACCAGCTTTAGAGCCTCAGAAACTTCTTTTGCAAAAAGGGTATTTGGGGCATTGAATGTTTTCTGATGTGGTGATGGAATTTTCATTTTCATGGTGAAAGAAAAACTTTGTAAATGCCTTTTTGTGTGAGAAAATTGACTACTGCTTAATTCGAGCAATTATTCCCCCTTCCCCTGAATCAGACACATACCTAAATTATGTAAGGCTATTTTTGTGAAAACTTACAGTTTGCCATTTCTATTGGACCAAATTTGCTTAGTATTTTCCTACTTGATCAATTTGGCCATGGTGCGACTCATTAGTGTGTTTTACATAGTGATCTGCTGGTTGAGGTTAGGTTTGTGCTTGGTTGCATTTCTGGTGACATTTGTGACAAGAGCCCTGGTACTCAAAAATGAGATTTTGTCAGTGGCAGAATCTGTCTGGTCACGGTCACAGATTTTAACAATATTGTCTATGGTGTTTGCTGGTCGATTGGGTGTTATTAGTGCAATTTATAGTAAACTGGTAATTTAGTGGCAACGCCAACAGTATGTGGGTGCTGGATATTCTTTTTCTCCTTCAATCATCTTCGCCTTGGCTGCTAAAGATGATCCTTGGCTGCTAATAATTTGTCATTGTGAAACTCAGATTTCGGCATAGGCAAAATAAACTGCAACATAAAGGAAAAGGGAACCCCAGGAACAGTTTATTCTATGCAGCATTCTTTCTTGGGAAGGAGGAACCTCCTATCTGATCTTATGTTGGGGGTAGGGTTGAGATTTCCCATCTCATTTGTACTATACTACAGGTTCGCATTAATAAATGAATAATTGAACAGTATTAACACTGACTGAACAATAAGTTATTGAGCTTTGTTCTGTAGTTGAAGTTCAGTTACTCATGCCATTTTTACTTGTTTTATTTTCTTAGGATGCCATGTGTAATAGTTTTAGTGTGCTAAATTTACTAAAATGCTGTAGGTAGCCTGGGAGCATGAACAGTTTTCAAGGCTGAGAGTTACTGCAGCAACAATTTCTGAGCTTTCAACTGCACCTGAATTGCTAGAAAGCACTGGCGGTCTGTCTGATAACAGGTAGTGGCTTTGCTACTGATGCCTCTATGTCCTATTTTCAAACTTCTTTCGATGGCAATTTGCTGAAATCCTTGTTTCCTGTTCCCAGACATTCTGTGAGTGAAGCCTCAATTATTCGAAGTGTCAAGCTTGTTGCTGAAAGTCTAGCAGTAAGGATCTACATCTTTGCCGCCAAACCTGTTCCAAACAAGATGAAATAATAATAGAAGTGTGATTTCATAAATCATCAAACAAGCAACCTTCAAGTGACATTATCTTACTTTTTGAGAAATAGACAACTGGGACCTAACTGTTTGAACTTGAAAAAGGAAAAGCGGAAGCTTATTTGGCCATTCACGGGACCTTTAATGCGTGTCACATCTACATCTTTCTCTCTTTGTTAAGATATACATTGCATTTAATGTTTTGCACATATACTGTTTACATGATCAGCATTAACCTCATAATTTATTCAACATAAACAAGATAAGTTAGAGAACCGTGCTTACCTCATCATTCCATGACTCCATTTAATTGACAAAATTACTCTCATTGAAGGTCTCTTCACGTTTTCCACAATAACGTTTAAGCTTTGGTCGATTCCTGGAAGCAATCTGCTAGCTTATAAGTAATATATCTACTATTTTATTGATGTTGCATCTTTTTTTTTTTTTAAAAGAAAGGTAACAGTATATTCATCAACACAAAATTTGTGCTGGAAGCCATAATTACAACAAGACCTAATTACATCTGTCCAAAATACAGTTTAGCTTAATTTGCATCTTTTCTTTAAATAAGTCAGATGAACAATATGAGAATTTTACGTGATTCTGTTGAAGAGTATCTTTTAGAGATCTTTTGGATGAGGCTAACAGTTCCAGAATAGTACAATCATAAAACTTTAAGAGTGAAGTTAGGAGTCCCAAAATTTTGATTTGTTCTCTTTCTTATCACATTTGGAGCTATAATGTCCTGGATTGCTTGTAGTTGTTTAGGAGAAGAGGTATGCATCTTATGCATCAGGTTTTCTTGTAGTACTTATTTTAATTCAGGATTATCTTTGTTCTATTTTTGGCGAAATTAATATGGAGTACAAACTTTCATGTGCTGTGGCAATCTTTCGTCTATTTTTCATGTTCTTGAGAAGCTGTATGTAAGAAGATCAGTTTTGGTGGTAGGATCTCTGTTTAGCATGTTTTCACTCATATTGAACTGATGATTTCAGTATGCTACATACTGTGTTAGTTGATCAACTAGTTCTGGATTCTAGGAGAATCTTCTAGGATTTTTCCCAAAAAGAGTAAATCTTTCTAGACTCTCAAAGCATGTGGACGTACATCATCTTTGCAGCCTTGCATGCCTTATTATTTTGTGGTAGACTTTCTGTTGTATCAACTAAAGTATGAACCATTGCTTATTATCTCATGAAGTGAGCAATCTCATGGTTGAGGAATATCCTTGTTTACATCCTGTTAAATATATGGTTGTTTTCTGTCTAACAAGTATCTATGTATACAGAGACATATATACGGCCAGGAAGGGAAAAACACAAATATATTTTCCGACAATAGTAGTTTGGCTGTTAATCCTTCCTATGTACGGTCTTGGCTGGACCTTTTGTCCAGGACTGCTCGAGTGGCACCTTTTCTTCCTAAGAATGACCCACTCATCATGGCACTGCACAAGGTACTACCGTTCTTTGCAAAAAAAAAAAAAAAAAGC